TAAAAATTCTATTAAGTTCATTAAGAGACCTAGTAATGGGTGCATAATTTAAATAATTCGATTTTAAAGTTTTAACACGCAACGGAAAGTGAAAACGCAATACCCTTTGGGGAATATTAAAACATATCTGCTCCAGTAGTTCAGGACAATTGATGAGACCACAGACAATATCATAGATAAACATAAGTGAGTGAATTATACGCCTTGAGGCAAGAGATTTCAGATTTATTAACAAAGAACGGCCCAGCAAAAAACACGATTACCACAGAAACGAAAGTGGAAACGAGCTAGGCGATGGGAATCGCTTACCGTTTCGCTTCAAGAAGGCCTTATTTTAACATGGGCATGTCATTGGAGGTAAGCCCTTACCCGCAGCATTACCTTCAAACGAAGGGAGAACGCATGCATAAACAGAATCCAGAGAAGCGAACAAAGAATGCCTTACAGAGAAACTAATGTAGAATGCCTAGATAAGTACATACTTATTTATATTAAAGTGAAATCTGAAAATGTCTTAAAAGGTTAAAATAATTAAAATTTTTATAAATCAGCGTACATATGTATGTATTTAGGTATTTAGATTTTTTTTAAAATCGGTATGTACATACATGCATATTTAATTAAGCTTAAAATTGTACTTCCTCACTCTTGTACGTCACTTCATTGACTGACTTCAACTTCGCTGCAAATTGAACAAAGCAAAACATGATTTTTATGCGAGACAAATTTCCACAGAAAGTAACGGCAGAAAAAAGAATTTTTGGATATTCATTCCATTTTTCAGCTGACTACGATGCAGCATTCTACTTTGCATTCCCCGAAATGAAGCAAAGAAGCGAAACAAATAAAATATTGTAGGACATTTTACTTTGCATTTCCCGAAATGAAGCAAAGAAGCGAAACGAATAAAATATTGTAGGACATTCTACTTTGCATTCCCCGAAATGAAGCACAGAAGCGAAACGAATAAAATATTGTAGGACATTCTACTTTGCATTACCTGAAATGACGCAAAGAAGCGAAACAAATAAAATATTGTAGGACATTCTACTTTGCATTCCCGGAAATTAAGCAAAGAAACGAATTAAAAAATAAATATTATAGGACATTCTACTTTGCATTTCCCGAAATGAAACGAAGAAGCGAGATAAATAAAATATTGTAGGACATTCTACTTTGCTTTACTGGCAATGCCTAAAAGAAGCGAAAAAATTCGAAGGCAATATAACGCTATGCCTTCTAGAACACGGTACCACTAAAAGCGATTACCGATTTTTTGCTGGGGGGCCTCATAAGATGGAAGGGGCCAATTAAAATGAAGAGATTGCAGAGCGAAACGGACAAAGCTACGTTGAACTCTTTCGATCCTTTGGGAATAAACAGAGTAAATTGGATTCCAAATTACTGAGGCATACTCCAACTTAGACCTAACTAGAGAATTATAAAGCGTTTTCCTAGTATAAGGATCCCTAAAGTCCCGCGCATAGCGCCGTAGAAAGCCCAAGTTGGAGTAGGCCTTAGGAATAATGAAACTAATGTGGTTAACAAAGGAGAACCCTGAGTCAAAAACAACACCTAAACCGGAGAACTCATTTACAGCGGAGAGACGAGCATTAGAAATGGAATAAGCAGAGGGGATTGGATTTATAATTTTAGCGAAGGTCATGTGGTAACATTTACTGATATTAAGCGATAACTTGTTTCTGGTACTCCAGTCGGATAGATTATTAAGATCACGTTGTAATAAAGAAATATCAGACATGCAGGTAACTTTGCTGAAAATTTTCAAATCTTCTGCATAGAGTAGACATTTAGCATGGTTAAAACAGACCCGAATGTCGTTAATAAAAAGCACAAATAATAGCGGACCAAGAATGCCCCCTGAGGCACACCTGAGGAGGCTACAAAGGGATGTGATTTAGTATTACTAATTTCGACGTATGAGACTCGATTAGTGAGGTAAGACCTTAACCAAAGAAGGAACTTTAAGTGGAAACCTAACCTTTCCAGCTTTAACAACAATATACTATGCGAAACAGTATCGAAAGCTTTTGTAAAATCGGTGTATACAACATCTACTCGATAACAAGTTTTAAATGAAGAAATGCAAAATTGGGAGAATTCAGCCAAGTTGGTGACTGTAGAACGCCACAGACAAAGCCATGTTGATGCGGATCAATTAATTCCTTAACAAAGAAGTACATTTTATCTTTCACCACTTTTTCGAAAAGCTTTGAGCAAGTGGTGAGTTAAGATATAGGTCTGTAGTTTCTTACATCATTTTTGTTTCCAAATTTGAAAATCGGAGAAATAGAAGCAACCTTCCAACGGTCAATAAAATCGCTGGTAGCGAGGGAGAGATTAAATATAAATTTTAAGGGCACACAAAGTGAAACACTGCATTTCTTAACTAGAAATGAAGAGAGCCCATCTATATCACTTTTCATTGAGGACTTTAAAGAAGATATGCCATTGATAACATCCAATTTAGACACAGACAATGATCCAAAATCTAGAGCGTGGGAAGAGTCATGACAACTGGAGTTTATGGCTATTGTACTATCCTGGACGAAGTTTGACCTAAAAAAATCAGCAAATAGGTTTACGGTGTTCGATAAACATTGGGAATGCGTTCCATCAAATGTCACACAAGTAGCGATATTTGTGCGACCTTTCTTTGAACGAACGTAATTCCAAAACGCTTTCGGATTTGATTTTAATCCAACTTCATATCGAGCAATATATTGGTTGTATAAAAGCTTATCAAGCGCATTAAATTGAGTTGAAAAGTGAATATATTGTTCTCGGAAGGTACAATCATAATTGGATTTGGACAGATCAAAGTACTTGTTCCTTTGATTCTTCAATTTCTTTAGGTCCTTGGTGTACCAGGGTAGTTTATGAATTCTAGCGCCCCGAAGAGAAAAACTCTTACGAAATAATTCGAAAATATTAGTTAGAAAAATATCAAAGCACTGAGAGCTATTTTTCGAAATAAAAAGCAGATTCCAGTCAATTTCCAAAATTCTGGTGTTTAGGTCATCAAAATTGGCACCTCTAAAATCAAAGGTTCGCGCTTCATCGAGAGAAACTGGACTAAAGTTTAAAAATTCTAAAGATATCGAAAGTGGGACATGATGTATATCGGAATTACCAAGTGGGAATTCGCATTCTCTTAAGTGAAAACCTAGATTTTCATCAACAAAGACGAGATCTAAGATATTGTTTAACTTATTAAACAGCGAGTTTATTTGAATGAGGTTGACTCCAAAGAGGCTATCTAGTAAATTAATTTCATACGAATGATATTAAGCAAATCAGACCAAACAATTTTGTTAAGGTTAAAATCACCGAGTATGCAAAAATGACTATCCTCATTATTTTCATAGATACTTAAAATATTTTGTACATGAGCATCATATAAAGATTCAACACTACTTGGCGGGATATACGAAACACAAAAGAAAATTTTACCAAAGTTGCCGTAAATACACACGCACAATTGGCCGAGTAGAGAATCGTTATTCATCAGTTGCACAACTGAAGAGCGTAATGAGCGTTTTATAGCAATCAAAACACCTCCCCCTCTGCACAGGCCCGTTTTAAATGGGTCACGATCTTTGCGATAGGTTTCAAATAAATTGTGATCAAAAAATTTCGTATCGAAAAAATCCTTGTTGAGCCAGGTTTCGACAAGTACATAAACATCAAACTCACAGCGGGACGTAGCTAAAAACACATCTTTAGTTTTAGTGCGCATACCTGACATATTTTGATAATAAACATTTAATTTATTTAACGTATTAGAAGAAAAAAGATCACTTATGGTTGCATTTTTGGAATTAAGCCTATTCATTTTGAAAAAAAGCGAAATGCACGAACATTAATTCCTACTGGCCATAAATTTTCATCTTAGAGTTTACTATAATATACACTAGACACACCTAACTTAAAATTGACACTTTGTAAATTATCAACAGAGTTAATATTCTATTAAGCAACGAATTAATACAAATTCTAGATATAGATCATTTAATAGGAATTGTTTTAGAAGTCCATACAGAAGTAGATCAAAACGTTGGTCGTCTTGCCGTGGCGGGGAAGCTTAAATGATGTCATGGTATACCTCACAGTGTGGAGTGCACCATGGCAACATGAACTAAGAGGGAAGCCCAGTATTGCATCCTTCTGCAGCACTTCTTGACACTTCAAGATGAAACGTTGCTTTGAGCCGCTGAGGAGAGCAATGGGGGGATTACCGCACCAACACTACCCAAGCCAAGGTGTGAAGGCCACCGTGCCGATGGATGAATGGCCAGCGGGTAATAAAATGTGGCTGGCCGCGAACGGTCCCCTCCGATGCCCGGGCAAAGTCGGTTGTAGAAGTGCCTTCTCCATGCATACCGGCTCTGCGGACGAGCGAAAAGCGGGAATCAGCAGCAAAACGGAAGGTGCCAGCCATAGTACCGCCGTTTTGCAATTAGAAAATTTTAGTACCGGTAGTGCCAGCCATAGTACACCGGAAGAAAAACCAGCCTGTAGCAAGCACGCGGCCGGTACCAGCAGTACCCAGCTGCAAAAGCATAGGAAACCCTCAAACGCGTTCATGAAGCAACGGTACAGAAGGCTCTGTACATGTTCGACAAGATCGAGAGAAATGCAGCAGCCGGACGTGTAGACGAGCGCGATGAGGAAGATAAGCTTAGATATATGGCCTTGGTGGAAGAGTATGAGAAATTCCAAACAGAACGTACTGCCACCATGGGATCTAGCGAAACCCAAAAAAGGAATAGGTCTCAATACGAGAGTGGCAATGGAGCTGACCGCAAAAGATTGAAGCAGGGGGATGTAGCGGAGTCCGCAACATCCACCAAGCATCGCTACTTCAGCGACGTTGCAAGAGACCATCTTCAGACTTCAATTATTGATGAAGGTAGCAGAACGCCGCTAGCAGTGCAGCAAAGTGGGTGGAGATCGATGTGAGGCTGTCGAGTCTCGTAATGGACTACATCCTCGACAGCCCCGAAGGTCCTTATCCAGAGTTTGACTCATCGGAATCCCTGAGGGGATACCGGGTCATCAAATGCGCGGTCCAGTTCTCCTTGGACTTCCGCGCTGGGTGTGTAGCAAAGATTAGCGACGCATTCGAGGGCTTGAATCTCAAGCTCATACCAGCCAAGGACATCACTAGGAGGCCCCGTGCGCGCATTTGGTTACCTCCGATAGCCGAACCTGGCGAAAAGTTGCTGTGGTGTGTAAAGGTGCATAATAAAAACATACCAGCAATAGACGAGTGGGAGCTCATCAAAGGTGAAGAGCCGAGAAAGCCCACAAACAAGCCAATTCTCCTAGCTATTTGCTCCGAATCCTCGGAGGCCCTAGCAGAGGCCCTAGCAGAGGCCGTAGAACCAATTGGGAGAAATGCAATAGAGTTTTGATGCGAAAACGAACTAAAGTTAATCTGGTAGAAAATATTACCTCAATAGATGAGATAGAACGAAACGTAAGCTACTTAGAGGGGGCGATGAACAAAGCCTATGAAAGATCAACCACACTGAGTGTCATGAAAAAGAAATCCCCGCCATGGTGGAATGGGGAGCTTAGAACTCTTAGAAATAGCGTTAGAAAACTTTTTTAACGAGCGCTTTAGGTCCAAGTATTGGGTGCCCTACAAAAGTGCGTTAAAATCATTTAAAAAGGAACTAAGGATAGCAAAGGCCAAGTCCTGGCAAACCTACTGTTCCTCGATAGAAAATGTAAGACACTCAGCTAGGCTAAGTAAGATCCTCTCAAAGGAGTACACGAAACCCTCATTTATTAAAAATATAAATGATGTATGGACAAACTCCACGGATGAGTCTTTAGAAGCACTAGTTCAATTCCATTTTCCAGGCTGTGAACAGAATGCAGCAGCATCAGATGGAAAAGAACACACATACATACCAAATAGAGAACTTGAAATAATAATAAGCAAAGAAAAGATCATCTATGCAATAAATAGTTTCTCTCCCTTAAAATCTCCAGGCCCAGATGGTATAATACCGGCTATGTTACAGAATGTAAAGGAGCACATAGCACCGCTACTTGAAACCCTCTATAGAGCTTGTATTAGTATGAACTATGTCCCCCAGAGCTGGAGACGTGTCAAAGTAGTGTTCATCCCTAAGCCCGGTAGGACGAACCAAGAAACAGCGAAAGACTTTAGACCTCTAAGCCTAACTTCCTTTTTCTTAAAGCACTGAAAAGGCTAATAGATATATTAATAAGATAGTTCTTGGGGGAAGAATCCCTATCAACAGCACAACATGCTTACATCAAAGGGAAATCGACGGAGTCAGCTTTGCATGAAGTGGTGGGGCTCATAGAAAAATCACTGCGCTTCAAGCAATACACTTTAGCCGCTTTCCTGGAAATCGAGGGGGCCTTCAACAACATTGAAGTTGACAACATCATCCAATCACTCATGGGGGTTGGTGTTGACGGCGCTGTGGTTGGCTGGAAACGCTCCATGCTAGAAAGCAGAATTATTCAGGCGAAAAGCGGAGATAGTCTTATAACTAGATATGTGCGTAGAGGTACTCCCCAGGGTGGTGTACTCTCCCCACTGTTGTGGGTTGTAGCACTAAACAGCATGCTGCTAGAACTCCACAGAGGTGGAGTTAAAGTAGTGGCGTATGCTGACGATGTAGTGATAGCAGTCACAGGAATTTTTCTCTCTACTGTAAGTGAAATTCTAGGAAAAGCGCTGAGTAGACTACACACGTGGGCTAAAGGCAGTGGCCTTAACGTAAATCCAGACAAAACTGAGTTGTTACTGTTTACTAATAAGTATAAGATACCCCAATTTAGACATCCATCCATAGGCGGCAAGACAATCCCCCTATCGTCCAACGCAAAATATCTGGGAGTAATTCTAGATACCAAACTAAACTGGAAACTTAACGTTGAGAAACGTAAAGAGAGGGCGTACATCGCTTATTATACTTGTAAACGGATCTTCAATAGAAACTGGGGTTTAAAACCGAAACTTGTGATGTGGATGTACACCGCTATCATAAGGCCGATCTTAACCTACGGCCCCCTAGCATGGTGGCCAGCCTTAGACAAACAATACAATGTCAGCAAACTAAATAGCTTACAAAGAGCGGCATGCTCGGGGACAACTGGGGCACTGAAATCCTGCCCTTCAGAAGCACTGACTGTAATCCCCAATATGATGCCCATTGACCTATGCCTAAAGGAAGCCGCGATGTACTCAGCATTAACACTCAGAGAGTCAGGGCTGTGGGGATCGAGAACCTTTGGGCATAGCTCAATCTTAGGCCTTACTTCGATAGGAAATAAAACCACGGACTATATGGTATCAACCCTCGATTTTGGCTTGAATGTACAAGTGCGGTTTCCATCCAGAAGGGAAGGGTCAAGCTGCCGATAGGGAAGCCATCTGTATCTACACTGACGGGACCAAGATGGACTGCGGTGTAGGGACAGGGGTATATTCCGAGGAGCTTGGTGTCAATAGGACCCTCCGCCTGCAAAACCATGCTAGAATATTTCAGGCTTAAGTTCTGGGCATTTGTGAAGCCTGTAGAATACTAAGGAATAGCGGTACCAGGAAAGAAATAGCGGTTATTTACTCATATAGCCAGGCAGCACTCCTGGCTATATCATCCACTGTAACCAAGTCCAAGCTAGTCAAGGAATGCAAGATGGAGTTACGCTCAGCGTCTCAGTCAATGTCCATCTCTCTTGTCTGGGTTCCCGGCCATAGGGACATAGAAGGCAACGAGAGAGCAGACGAACTGGCCAAGGCGGGAGCTTGTTTGGATGAATCTGTAGCGGTGATACTGGGTTATCCCCTGAGACAAATACAAACAGAAATCCACTTGCACCTTCTGAAACTGGCAAGGTGGTGGTCAGAGATTCAGTCTTGCAAGATAGCACGAGAGCTTTAGCCTGAATTTAGCAGGAAAAGAACAGCAGAACTGCTAAGTAGGTCGAGGGTAGAAGTATTTAGAATTGTAGCAAACATGCTTGTAGGAAAACATGCTTGTAGAATAGGTCTGCCATACAACAGAATATGCCGCAGCTGCGGCTTGGATGGCAGCGAAGAAACAGTATTCCATTTCCTGTGTGAATGCCCAGGCCTGGCTTACTTAAGACATAAATCTTTCGGGAGACACATAGTGGAGCAGTTATCGGATCTATCTAGTGCTACATTAGGTGACTTATACAAATTCATAAGCGGTTCTAAATGGTTTGACTGAACCGCTGGAATGTTCTGACAGGTAGGCTACGGTATAATAAAATATAATTGTCCACGAGAAGTGCACCAAAATGGCGCTTTTAAGCTCTAATTGATTCCTGAGCGATAGCTTAGGTAGCACTACAACCAACCAATCAGATCAAAATCTCGTGATAGTCAAAATTGGTTATGTAGATACCATTAAAAATTTGGTGATAAGGCTCAGAAATGTCAACAGCCTTGCGCTTTTTCTAAAAACAAAAATCGTTAAACTAGAGTCATCCGTTGTTGTCGCGGCAAACAATGGAAATTTAGATATTACCACACGTCGCCTATTTATTTTTGATAAAACAAACAAACTAAATTTTTTTCCGGTAAAAAAAATCCCTCATACAAAACGTTCTTCAGATATAATACTTACTGCAGCCAATGGTTCAACGATTTCAACATATGTTAAAAAGATTTTAAATTTAAATTTAATCCCTGAGGACAGGGATTTGTAGACCTTCAAATTCTTGTGTAGCGTCTCCACTGCATCTAGTACCTAAAAAAGAACTGATTGACTGTCGTCCTTGTGGTGATTTTCGGAGACTTAATGTTGTAACTGTACCGGACCGTTACCCTTTACCTCATATTCAAGATTTCAATATGAATCTCAGAAATAAGTATATATTTTCGAAATTAGATTTGGTGAAATCCTACCACCAAATTCCAATGGCAGAAGAGGATATCTATAAAACTGCAATAACGACACCTTTCAGTATGTTTGAATTTATACGAATGCCTTTCGGACTAAGAAATTCAGCGCAAACTTCAAAGATTTATTAATGAAGTAGTTAGTGGTTTAGATTTTGTTTTTACATATAATGATGATCTATTGGTTGCAGCTGAAAATGAAGAACAGCATTTTAAAGATCTCCGTATACTTTTCCAACGCCTAACAGAGTACGGGTTAAATATCAAACCAAGTAAATGTACTTTTGGTGTTACAAGTAATGACTTTTTAGGACATAATATTTCTGGGGCGGGAATTAGACCCTCTGATGAAAAAGTGATAGCTATTCGTAGTTTTGAACGTCCTAAATCTATTTAACAGGCGCAGAAGTTTGTAGGCATGGTTAACTACTACCATCGATATGTACCAAAATTAGCTGAGTTTACGGCAGTTATCTACGATTTAATCAATCGAACAACTAAGAAACCTGACAAGTCCTTAATTTGGGATGACACAACAAATAAAGCCTTTGAATGTGCTAAAGAAAAGTTTGCGTCTACGATATTGTTAAATCATTTTAACAAAGATGCCAAACTCTCTTTAAATGTGGATGCATCTAATACGGCAATTGGTGGTGTCGAAGGTAGAAGGACGACAATTTACAGTTTTTACAGATCACAAGCCTTTGGTATTTGCTTTGAGTTCAAAACCGAACGTAGTCCGAGACAAACTAGACATATGGAATTCATTGCATAATTTACTAATGACATACGATATATTAAAGGACAGGAAAACATTATAGCTGACACATTATCTCGAGCTTTCGAAGTTGATGCAATTAAAGGTACAGAACTGAATTTTAAAGTTTTACAAAATGAACAAGAACAGGACGAGGAACTAAACACATTCAAATCTGGAGAGAAATCACATAACCTTCAATTAATTCAAATACCACTTTTAAATTTTAATATTTGGTGTGAAATGACAGGTGAGAATCCTAGTCCATTTGTTCCAAATTGTTTACGCAAGACAGTGTTTAATATGTTACATGACATTACACACGCTGGTACAAAAGCTACACGTCGTCTAATTATTAAAAAGTACTATTGGCCAAAAATGCACAAAGAAATTAATATTTGGTAAAAATAATATATAAATTGTCAAAAATCGAAGGTTAATCGTCACACTAAATCTCCAGTAATTAAAATTCCGATTCCCAAAAGTAGATTTGATCATATTCATTTAGATATTTTTGGACCTCCTCCTGTATCGAAAGGACATCGTTACATTTTTACAATAGTTGACAGGTTCACTCGTTGGCCCGAGGCATACGCATTAAAGGACATTTCAGCGGCAGTGGTTGCAAATAAATTTTTTAGAGAATATGTTTCACGTTTTGGGGTACCGTTAAAAATCACTACAGATCAGGGTACTCAGTTTATGTCAAAATTGTTTTCGGAACTAACAAAATTGCTTAG